TGTGCTAACTTAAAAAGAATATTTATTTGCCTTGTTCTTCCGGCCAAACACAAAATGAAAAGTCAGCAGCTTGAAAGGATTATTGAGAAAGTATGGTAGCCAGAATAAAATGACATAAGAGGGGGAAGAAGGCGCTATATTTCATCAAGTGTTCCAACACCTCACAAACATGTACATTCAAACACAGATCTATAACCTGTAATTCTCAGGACAGCATCCACTGTATTTTAGAAGTGTTTTTACAAACCTGATTACTATGAACCATCTGCATTGTGATGGTTATTCTTAAAAGTTGAAAGTGGTCATTGATAGGGACCTATCTGTAAAAAAAGAATTCCATAATATTTTTGTTATATCTTCAAAAGCAGTCTTCTGGTGATTTCATATTTAAACTTCAAAGGGAGCAATCTAAAAACAAGTACTACAGTGGCACATTTAAAACCCTATACGGACTTAGAAAACCTGGAGAATGAAACTGGCTAAACAGAAGTGAAACTAATTTATTCGATCTGTAGAAGTTCATTATAAGATGTCAGCAGAAAAAAAAAAAACAAAACAAAAACCCCAAACATTCAACATCTAGTTGCAGTAGTTTTGTTTAATGTGCAATGATAAATGCAAAAATAGGATGTGTTTAACTACTCAAAGCAGGCAAGGAGCAATTTTAGAGAGGAAAAAAAAAAAAACCGACTTTGTGAAGCATACACGTCCTGACAAGGAAGTCACATCCTTCTGATGTAACAGGAAGATATTGAGTGAAAAAGAATTTTAAGGCAGCTAATTTTACCCAGGTAACTCTGTATCACGGATCGGCGACTACCAAAACTGGAGAACCGAGGGTCAGCTCTGACCACACGCAGCTCGCCACACGACCTGTACGTTAAGCAGAGCGGCGGCTCTGTCAGAGGCGCCGGCGGCCGCGCTCCGAAACACTGGGCAAGGGGCTGTCAGCCTGGTGGGATCACAGTTCAGAATCAGACAGCCGGTCTGAGGGCAGGGGCCAGGACATCCCCTCCGCAGAGCAGGGGACGTGAAGCACAACCCCAGATTGCTTAGGGTGCTTCAGGAGGTTGCTGCTGCTCAGCGCATGGCAGTAAAAATATTTTCAGGCCTAAACTAGCTGTCTGAACCCAGAAGAGCAAGAGCCAGAAGATACATAAAAGACATCAGGATAATCTACAACGCTGTGTCCTAATGAACAGCACATCTTCCCTTATCCCTCTCCAGTTAATACAGTAATAAAAAAATGAGGAGGGAAATGAATTCCGTTTTGTCTTGCAACATGTATTCCAAAAGCTGTGCCCCAAGACATCATAAAAAAATTTGCAGAAACAATTACAAAGCGTTTTGGAGAGCCCTTGCACTTTAAGGCATTTACTCAATTAATTCGACCTTAACATTCTCTGCTTTTAGCAGGAAACAAGCCCAGGTACTGGTTCCATCAATTATTCATTGAAGCCATTTTAAAATAGCAGTTGGTCTTACTGGTTGGATTTTATTTCATTTATCCTAATGCCGCATTTCAGCCACAGATGAAGACAACAGCAAAGCAGCTAGGTGGCATAAGAGCTCAGTAAACCTGGCCAGGGCTGGGGACGAGGCCTGCAGGACAGTGCCCGAGGCTGCAGAGCACAGCGGGATGGCCACGGGGGTACCCTGCAGTCAGAACCCCCCTCTCTGCAGGATCGTCAGTGCGGAGCTTTGGGGGGCAAGGTGGGTGACTTGTTTAACCCCCTACCAACCACAGCTCCCCTTCCAGGAGGAACCACAGGCAGACACTGTACCTGAGCCAAAACCTCCTGCCTGGGCACCATCTCATACAGGCAAGTCTGCTGATGCTGACCCTGCTGCTTCTTGAGCTTCCCTCCCCCTCCCGTTTTTAAATAGCACAGAACAAAAACATGCCAGACACACTTCTGTCGATTCACTTGTGGTCTGGGGGGTGGCTTAGGGAGCACCCCCCTTTCTTGTGTTGTACAACTCTCTCACACGTGTCCCTAGCTTTGAGCAGGGTTTCTCCTTGTGTGGCCCCAGTATTTCACAGGGGCAGCAGACAGGTCAAGGCTGCAGACAACTGGAGAGAACACAGATAACCCAGCAGCAAAACGAAACAAAATTGGAGAAGTCCAGACACCAGAAAGCAGAGCAGTTTGAAATCCATCCATGGGAACCTCAAAGCAAACACCAAGCCAAGCCCACCAGGCTGTCCTGACAACTGGCTTAAGAAAAGGCTGAGGTGGATTTCAAGGCACTCTGCAGTAACTGGCCTGTTTACCACAGTGCAACGCTTCCCCTTGCAGCTGAGTTCCCAAAGAGCTCCGCTTGTAGGACCTCTTGTGATGCCACAGATACACATGAAGAAATACATCTGCTACCCTGCATGGCCACGAGTAGCCACCTTGTTGTAGGGCAACTACAGATTTGGCAGAAGTTGAAGGCCTACAGACCTTCTCCTGAAGGTCCCAGGGAGCAGGGGACTGACCACATCTTTCTGTGGAGGTGAAAGACTGAATAGCTTTTAAAGTATTTGGTTAAACTGAGATGCAGGCACACCTCTGTGCAGTTTAAAAGGAGTGTCTTATTCTGCTTTACCTCTAATCTGTTCCTAATCAATTTAAGACAAAGCTATCTTAAGACAGATTTACATCTGTTAAGAAGGATCCATGTAGCCTTTTGCTCCAGAATTGCCATATTGATTTTACAGAAGCATCCACTACTTTAAATGGGCAGAGCAGTTTCCAGAAACCAACTAAAGGCCAAAGAACAAGCCCATTCATACAGCTATTCATTAACCCTCCTCCAGGGAGTAGCAAGCTTTAAGATACACCTCAACTCACAGCAGGGAAAGATCAAGAATTACTAAACCAGAACTTGCTCACAGGCCCTGCCCCTCGCCACTGCCTTTGGAGCAGCGACAGGCACAGGGCCAGCCATGTCGGATGCGTTCAGTCACTGAGCAAGAGCTGCCTCGGGAGTCAAGCACAGCATCAGCATGTAAAACAGCACCCAGAGATTAATTATGAGAAACTGGGACAGCAGTTAAGTAAGATTAACAGATAGATAGTCCCAGAAGCCACCAGTATTAGTAGCTCAGATTTGTTTCCAGTAAGACTATAGATCAAGTGTCTGAGAACGGTTTCGGCAACAGCAATTGCCTTTAACAGCACTCTTGAAGTACAAACTCTAATAATTTATGTGCTTCAGATCCATTTGTTATATACACTGCACCACCGCTGTTCACTTGGCATTTAAATTTGCAGTGAGAGATGACCTCTCAAAGGACTTAGTGCTTAAGGCTGCTTCACACAGGAGTCCTGAGCATCCACCCAGCTCTGCAGGGCTTTGACATGAGTTTACTCAACTGAAACTGGAGTCGAGGGTGAGGGGATGGGGAAGAAAGGGCTGAGAGACGGAGGGACAGACAACCAAGTACTACCAATCTGTTAGAATATGAATTATGGGAGTGTCAAGATAGAAGCAGGCATAAATTTAAACATTTGTCAAGATAGCAGAAGTAACTACTGCAGTTCTTTGTACTCACAGCAACAGATGTTGTTTCCTAAGCATTCCTACACCTCTAAAACAGCAGGACACTCACACTGGAAGGAGAGAAGAGGAAGAAGCATTCTTTGCTCTGGACATAAGGGTTTGTGTCCTCACCTCACCAGCATTCAGCATATATTCAATTCAACACCTGTCACACCTGTTATGCCAAAGAAATTTTAAATGTTTCAGCCACAAATAGCAAATATAAATGGATCTAACATCACTTATTCAAAGTAATGTTTGCCACACTGAGTTCCATGAGAGCAGAAATTACCCTTCTTCTCACCCAAATTATACTCATGTCTTAATTTTTTTTAATATAAAGCTAAACAGTCAGTGCCTGGAAATTAAAACAAGTAGAGATAAAACTACTTCTAGGAACAACTTTGAGCCAACAGGTTTGGCACAGAATCAAGCCTCCTAAACACCCAGATCTGGGTGAAGCAGGCAATAATTAACAAAGAACCTTGCCAGCCTGCAGCAATCTTCCCTCATCAAGCCTGCAACCTCCCCGCTGCTCCCCCCAGTGCTGTGCGTTCTCATACACAGCCGCCTTTGCCAAGGCTTTTGATGGTGTGGGTGGGAGAAAAACGGGAAAACCTGCTATTTTCACCAAAGACAGTATGAAATCACACACCCGTCTTCCACAATAACAGCATTAAAGGAGTATTCCTCCTTCTACACCAATTTTAACTAAATGCATTTTGAGACTCCTACTGAAGTGGAAGTATTCTTTACTGTCAAAGCTACATAGACCCAATATCAACTGTGGCAACTAGAACAGACAATAGTTTCATGTAATGGTATAAAGTTCTCCCAGAGTCTGAGTTATTTAAACATGTTAAATATTTTGTACCAACTGTGATTTTAATCTGCAGAACCCAGCTCAGGCACATCCGCATTCAGCAATTTCCACTGAAGGAAAGTCACCAAGTCCCAACCCTTTCAGAAGTTGAGGTCCATATTTGAAGAAGTTGAGATGAAGGTCAGTCTAAACCTATGACTCAAAAACACCTTAACCAGCTCTGCAGGAAATGACAGTTTGAAATCAACACAATTTACAACTAATGAAGGGAAAACGGTCTTAGATTTGACTATCAGTAAGCTTTCATTTAGGAAATAATGAAACAAGAGCCAAATCACATTAACTTGATAAAGCGCCTGTTGGATGTTTATAGGGGAATCCCCACCCCTACCCCCCAGCAGTTACTCCTTAGCATCCAAAGCAGAATTACTTTCACTTCTTGGAAGGTGTTGAAGTCTGGCATAATGCAGTGTCAAGCTCCTATAAGGCTGACAAACAATCACTTCAACCTAAACAAGACTTAACAGGCTGCAAAGTGTTTCAGGTGGCTGCAACAGCACAAAGCATTTTGCAAACCAGTGATCAAGTTCTTGGACAAAGTGCTGACAATGCATGAATGAAGAATGGCAACAAGACTTAACAAACATGATTAGTATTATCCAACTGCTTTGTTATAAATACATTATATACATTCAAACATCACATTAAAATATTATTCCATTACACCAGAAGAGATTAAGGCTTTATATTATTTACAGAAACAAGCAAGCACCTTAAAAACAAACAAACACCAGTCATCGTTGATAATTCCCTTCTAACATTACAAGTTTGATACCATGAGCTCTTGAATACAGCTATTTGCAATGTGCTCAATGCTAAAACTATTTTAAACATTAATTGTCAGGGTAGGAAAGACTTAACAGAAGACTCATCAATGAGCACTCCACATGAACAAACACGAGCATGTGTTGTATGGGGTGCCCTCCCTCTCCTCAGAGGTTTGTTAAGTTGAAGGCTTATGCAGAAACAGTTTGCTCAAATCCACGTAGAGTGTAGAACAATTTTATTTTAAGGGAAACTGAAGACACTTGAGGATTCGTGGCCCACTGGTGGAGTGGGATTCTCAAAGTCTGTTCCACGTTACATCAATTATTTAAAATGACACCGAAGACAGAGCTTTATCGATCACTAAGTGCATTGAACAGCGATGATTTTATAGGCTTCCATTACTCTGACACACTGTTTCCATGCAGTGTATTTGGACTCAAACATGAAGTGACAAACTGTTGTCACCATTCTCCCTATAGGTCTTAGGCAACAAGCTATTTTTGAAGTGTTAAATAATGTTGATACAACACATGTTTGCTACGCCACCATGTACCAATGGAGCGACTGTCCTGCCTTCTGGCCTGCCCGACAGCCTTATGAGAGACAGTGATGAAGTATTTTCTAAGATGTAAGCAGACATGGCTAAACAAAAAGGTGCTCAGTAAGAGTAATCATCTTCATTTCAAGTATTGTTTTAAGAATTAGTTCTTTTTGTTACAGTCTGTGTTAGCACTTTTTAGTTTGTGCTTTAGAGTCTGTTATTTCTTTGCAGGTCTTGAATTTGGCTGATGGCTTTTTTTTTTTTTTTTAAAAAAAAACAACATTGGCAACAAGTTAAGGATTGCAGAAGACTGGCAAAAGTTATTTGATTTTCTGAGCCCATTTCATGTCATCTGCTCTTGGCTTCTCTCCAGTAACTGCTTGGATAATGTTCTCCAAACACCTCCAGAATCTTATCTTCTCTAATGGATAGTTCAGCCAACCTAAGTGATTGCAAAGGAGAAAAAGGATTAGTTTGTCACAGCATCCAAAGTTCAATGCCTTGCAATGTTTATTTAATAACATTCTTTAAATTAAACACAAGGTAAATGTAAGGGGAGTTCAGAGGTGAACTATTCTCTATGGCCATTGCAAAGCTATCAGAAAAGTGACCATCAAGTTGAATGATTTGTGTTAGAAACAGGACATTTGTATTAGTAGTACCTTAGATTTAATATTGAAATTTAAGCAACAAAAAATCCCCAACCCAACAATTTCAGCTGTTTTCCCCCATTAGTTTCCCCATCAACAAAGCCACCTTGGCTTCTCCCTGTGTTTCTCATTAGGTAGTACAGCAAGAAAGTAAATGAAATGGGTATTTCATGGGAAAGAAAATGAAATCTCAAATGCATTATCAATGCCACAGTTTCTAGGGAAAAAAATTTAGAAAATAACCAAGATTTCTGTTAAGGACCTAAAGACAACTAATTAAGGTTCAGCAAACTGAACAAAGTTTTTTAAGTAAAACCTCAAGTTTAGCTAGTTCCAACATCAGTTTGCATTTTCAAGGTACTTAAATGTATTATGCTCTCCCTGGGCAAAATTAAAGTTTGCATAACTGCTTGCTAATGAAGTCTGTGATGGAGAAGTCTTATTGTAGTACTGTGCTGCATTTAACCACAGCTGCTGTTAGCCACCTCCTGGATTAGAAGGGCAGCACTGCTAGCATTCCCAAAGTTGTGCAACTCAGCTAACAGAGCACCTCCGCTTCCAAGCGACCCGAAAGGCCATACGTAACAGGTTGATACGGGACAGGCGTCTCCCATTTTATGTAAAAATGGCAATAAGTGCTATCATGTTCTGCATGCAACAGGAGTTTAATGCATCCTTCCTAGCCTACAGATTTAGGGTATTTTGAATGAAGAGATGTTGCACTGTACAGACTGTGAGGCCAGAACTCTGAATTCAGGGTGAGGCCTATTGTGTCTCACTTTAGGATATTAACTTGATCTTCTGATACTGTATTTTGATGCCAACCTAACTACATACTGTATAGTAACTTTAGGCCTCTGTTTTATTAACGAGTGTAAGACTAGGAAAACCAAAAGAAATAATCTCTGGAAAATGTTATTTCCCTGTAGAAGTTTTCCTACAACCAAGAAGAGATGAGTTACATTAGAAATGTTCTGTAAGCACACATTATACTTTACTCCATGTAAATTTCTAGAAAAGGGGAAAAAATAGCATAAGAAAACGAAACCAAAGGAGAGGCAGGAATGAAGAAGTTGTTACCACAATGGAAACAGTGAGCTAGAAGCAGTGATTCATGTTAGAAGAAAGAGCTAAAACCCAGAGTAGTATGAGCAAGAGTGGAACAGGAGAAAGTTGCCACAGAGCCAGCTCTGCCGGGTCCCAGTACCATCCCTACAGCAGTGGCACAGCCAGCACGGAGAAAACAACTGCTCTTCCAGTGATGTCTTAGACTAGGTGTGTCGCTACTACGCGACAGAAATTCTAAAGGGAGATATCATTCAGGATATTCACTGCTGAAAAATATCATATTTCTAGAGTGCCAGATGGTTCCTAATCCGAGACGAGCACAGCTGTAACGATCTACTGAAACAGGCACTGTTTTGAGCCACTTCTGTATTGGACATGACCCTTCCCAGCCCAACCTGAGATCCTGCAGCTCCACTCAACTCACTCCATACTGAGTCCCTTTAGGAAGTCAGCCCATGCAATTCTCATTAACACAGCCATCACCTCTCAAGGAATGGACGACTCCTTCCTGGTGTCTAAACATGGCAGCCAGTCCGAAAGCTGTAACACTGGGAACGCCAGAAAGCCCTGGCCATGATACAGCATCGGACCTTTACATACACAGGTCAGCTCCACCGAGCCTACTCTTTGGACTGGGCTATCTACTCTGAAGTCACTAACAAGCACATTACAATAACTAGTCCTATTTTACTCTGTAAAGGCCCTTTTAAATAGCACACTGACTGCATATTTCTGTACGCCTCCTCACTTCTACCCTAGAAGAAAAAATTAGAGCTGCAGAAACATTTTGCTCCACTGGAAAATCCAAGAATACAATTTATCATGCTGTGTTATGTCAGACTAGTATGGTATGAGTACTTAAAGAAAGCATGAAGTGAACAGAAGCATGTGCTTTTTTTTTAATGAGGAAAAAAAGCCATTAGACTAAGACTGATAATAATGGTCAGGCTTAAACTCTGAGGACACAGTAAGACTGAAAAAAAGCTCTTAGGGTGGCAAGATTTTTGCCATCATCTGTCAAGTCAGGCTTCTTAATTGTACCGAGTTTTTACATGACATTTTGGTCATGAGAACTAGCTTTGTTTCTAGGCAGGGGTTTCAAAACCAACATAAACTGTTTGTCAAAGCCAATAACAGAATGAAGAACCAGATGGGTTTATTTCCAGCTGTCTGATTAACTTGATAGCTTATTCAAGATTTGTTCAACAGTGGTGACTGAGCATACCCACCTGTACAGTGGGCATAAAACTGAATATAGATGTAAAAGCCTGTTTTCTGCAAGCCTGTCTGTTCCTCTGCCCCAACTCTGAATGCATAAATACTGAAAATCCAGAAGCCTTGCTTTAGAAAGGAGCATTCAAGGTAAGCTGCACTTGCAGATGATACCGTCTTCTGAAGGAGTAGCAGCTTTAAGTCTTTAATGAACAAAATCCATTAATAGCATGAGATTACCAAGCTATCATGCAATCAGACCTCAGTACCACCGACTGCCCCATCAGGCTGGAAGTTACAGAATCGTCTAGGTTGGAAAAGACCTTGAAGATCACCTAGTCCAACCCTTAACCTAACACTGTCTATTCTCAACTCCACCATATCCCTAAGCACTATGTCAACAAAACATAGACAATGTGTCATACCTTTTAGTCAATAACAGATCTTCCCCCCACATTATTATGCAACAAAAACAACTATAGTTTTGCTAAGAGCACGGTTAGCCTCACCATGTCATTTTCTAGTATTGAATAGGCCATCACTAAATTACATCCTGCCAGGTGAATTGCACTAGGCTACTAAAGAAAGCTTGCAGTATGAACCAGGTGTAAGTACCAGTTGTAATGCAGAAGTACGTCTCATGTGGAGACACATGATGGATCCTGTGATGCTTCCGCGGCAGGATAACATGCCAGTCCTGTAGAAATATGACCCAGCGTGGAAGACCAAAGTACGTGTGAGACCACTTGTGAATCTGGTTCGTCATGGTTATGAAGATGATAAGGGCAAAGACATAACACTCCCAAGGACACGTTTCATATAATGCCTCTGCAAAACAAGATGTGTATCTTTAAATACCATTTATGAAAAGGTAAATTTCTACTAGAAAAATGATACCTTGCTCAGACAGAGCTGCCTGGTGCTGCAGGAACTAACAAAGGCCTCAACGAAGCTGCTTTGGCAGAAGTGTCATGAGAGCCAGTGAGCCATAAGCAATGCCAGAAAGTCACAAGACAGGCCGGTAAGTGCCAACGTCTGTCAACTTGTCATAAACAGGAAGTTAAACTCTGAGTTTACCATCTATAAAATTAAATTAATCCTTTAATTCTTACACTTTTAGTTTGCAAATAAAGTACTTCTACACAGAGATGAAGCTTTTTTATACACTTTAGAGCAATGACTTTCCCTATATGCACACAGTTTGATCCCTTTTATAAAAAGAATATTTACTGTAACTTGTAACACTTCCTTGCAAGACATTTCAGCCTCAGACTCTCTGTTGACCTAAAGAATGCAGCTGTCCCACCTTCCAGTTGCCTCATCCACAAGTAAAAAAAAAAAGGTTCCCTTCCTGTAGTACAGGCTGCAGATGACAGCATTAACAGACTAAATACAAGTTAAATGACTAGACAAACCAATGTAAATCAAACAGATTATACGAAAGTCTTGTCTAGGAATAGGAATCACATGTGAATACACAATCCCAGAGGAGACAAAGCAAGTGTGATAGGTAGGACTGAGACAGTAAAACACTTGCCTTTAACACATATATCATGTACAGCGTAATGCAAAGGTGTCCTGATCTTCTGAACTCTTGTTTATTTAGTGGATAGTCTCCTGTAGTGTTGTTTTGTTCTGTTTTTAAACTATGGTACAGAGATACAGGGATTCAAGGACTACTAAGTCTATTGAAGGTGAACAAAAATAAGCCTAAAATCAAGTCTTAATTCTGCTGTTATAGTTCATATATTACTGGATAATTACAAGGAATAGCCCATACACTTTTTTTTTTTAGAGATGTCTAATATTGCACTGTGAGTAGTAATTAATGGTAGTTATGAAGTTTTTTTTAAAAAAACAGATTATTGCTTATTATAGAAGCCTGCACCTTCCGTTAAGCATCTGACATTTGTAGCTGCAGATGTTCTCAAATGTAAATCTTCAGTCATCACCATTTAATACTACTGCATTTATAATAGGGGCCTGTAGCACAGAGAACTGGAAAGATTTCTTACTGGACTATCTTCATGTTTTACAAGGCAGTTTTTAGAAAGTTTAGCTACAGGAAGAATTCTCCACTTCTCTGTGTTTATTGGCCTTTTGGAAGATCTGTGCTAGTCTAGCCAGGCTTCTACACTTGTGGTCACAGGCCATCCCCACAGTACCTCGGGAGGGTTTGTGAACACTGGTATTGCAAAACTGTGCGAACCTTAAACAAGGCGATAAAAAGGAACAGTGTCACCTTGCACATGTCACCTAGGCCAAGTGTAAACATGGCACTTTACCAGTAATACACCATGCCTTTCGGCGGAGGAGAGTTCTGGGGCTGGGGACTGGTTACATGGGCAAGACTGCAAAAACAATACAGCTTATTATATACACTGTTCAACATAGCTGGGAAAACTGGAACTGTTTCAGAAAAGTATTTATTAACTTTTTCAAGCTTAAGGATAAGAATCTCAAACCTTTCCAACTATGGGTAGCTCCACAGATCCCCAGGTATCAGCTCCCCAGTGAAACAATCCTGATAGGAAGTCAGCTGTAATAACTCCTGCAACTTGAATGAGGGGAGACACAGTTAGATATACACAAGCATTTTTACTGATGTATTCACATTTTATACTTGTTTTACAAGTTTACTTGTTTATCTACCTCTTAGATATTTACAACCACATGAGATCTACCCAATCTGAATAAACATAAGGTTAGACAACTAGGAAAAAGAAGTTAACAAGACACCATTTGAACAGTTACAGTCTTCATCAAATCTATAGCAAGATTTTGTGTTTAACCCATCTTCTACAGAAGAACTTGACAAATCTTTACAATTGCTGTTACGGAAAATACTAGTAAGTTAGAACTAAATCACCTGGATCTGCCTACCCTCTTCTTGAGCAGCGTTTAACAGATTTGGCTGTAACAGTGAAAGCCATCCCAACAAATAATATCTGCAGACTCTTCTCCCTTGGCCCCTTACGTCTGTAAACAGGAAGCACTGAACTTCGGTAACTACAGATACGCACTTATCAAGAAACCACTCCTGGGTACAACAATACTATTTAAAAAATAAGACCGGAACATCAAACAACTTCAAGACTGTGGCATCTGCAAAGCTAAAGGCAAGGCCCCTGAAGCCATGCTAACAATTCTCTGCGAGGGACGTAGTACGCAAATATCACAAGCGTACAAAGTTAGATACACTAATAAACAGAAATTGCTGCAACACATGTAAAGATTTTTCTAGCTGCTAACCACAGTAACTTTAAAACTGCAATTAAGTAAAGGTGACTTTCAGTTTTTGCACATAAAGCCCTATTTTTGCTTTCGTGTTCTGGGTAATCTATCTATCCAAGTTTCTGACATTTAAGAGTAAGGACACAAGAGATGTTATTTGATCAGAACAGCTGTATATTTCCAGTTAGTCACAGATCTGACAGATGGTGTTTAACAGACACCTCCCACTCTTCACCTGCAGAAGTCATCCAACTCCCAGGTTCCCAGTCCCTTTAGTAATGAAGTCTCGAACACAGTTTGAGACATGCTCCTGTCTGAGCTCTACTGCCAGGCTCTTTATGCTTTTGAGGAAGAAAATTCAGAGAAGACTGCCAAAGAAGTTCCCTTGTTTTTAACAGAGAGGGAACGTGGCATACAGCACAGCAATATGGCTACAGCAACACAGCAAAGAGATACTACCTTAGGACCTCTATGCTTGGGGGATTTAGGGCTGTCAAACCTTGCTCTTTAAAGAACAGACACTAAGAGGTACCAGTTCAAACCTGCACATCTTGCTCTAAGCAGGTTTCAAGAGAGATTAGCCAGGGCTCGATGGAGTCTAGATTTGCTGAAGAATGAACCAGAATTCTTTTTCACTTCAGGTTAATAAAAATATCAGAAAGATGTTTGTTTTTTCTGAGGTCAACCACCCAGCGAACACGTATACAAGCATACTTGGTGACTCTCTGCAGAGTCAGCATTCAGGCTCTGGAAGGGGAAGGCAGCACACGCTTCTTACCTGCAGGTCTGGTTAAAAGAATTCAGCAGAAGCACAACCCAGATTTCAAAATAGCTACTGCTTACTGTGCAAATACGATATACCTGAGAACTGATAGCACCTGATCTCAGTGCAAATCCCTCAAAATCATATACAAAGTTTGTGCCAATTAAAGCACTATATACTGATCTTGCAGTCTATTGTTAAATGAATCATAGCAAGTACAAAGATTATGTGTTCAAAACGTATGTTTCAAAGTAGCTCAGTTAGCAATTCCCTACTCTTGCTACTGGTATGTCTGGCAGTTGCGAGAGAAGCCCGAGAGTCCACGCAAACCAGAATGGTAGTCACAGGGCCAGGTCAGAGTGGCTGGAACACAGTTCTTTAGTTTTCCCTACTGATATTTACAAAAAATTGGGTTGTTTACATAAGTCACCCACTGTAACATAGTCTGCACCAGCAACAGCAGGGAGTTGCAAAACCAGTGGTGATGCAGGAAATCTATTTTTTGCTCTGTCTGCCTCACCAACTCTTCTTTAGATGTCTGTGAAGCCAAGAGAATCCCTGGATTTCTCCTCCACAAGCCAGCATTTGTTTATCTATGTGTCTGAAGACCTTCTTCAAGCACAGCTTCTCATTTATAGTATTGAGTCTTTTTGTGATGGGCAGGCATCCCTCTGCCTGATAAAATGTGTAGGCAAAACAAGTCCCACTCGCTTGTAATCCAAATCAAAAGTATAAGTGTTGGTATACTGGTTCATCTTGCTCAAAGGCATCTTGTTACTCCTCCCTCTCACAGAAACTTGAAAGCAATCTGAGATATGCCAGGATACAAAGCAATCAATGGGCATCTTTACCCCCAAATCACACAACTTTTATTTACCCTGATTGTGATCTGGACTTTGTCTCATTTTCCTATTCCAATCAGGATGCTTCAGCCAGCTGCCTTGTGAGTCCAGTTTAATGACATTAGCAGCATTGCTAAAGAGCGGGTAGTTTTTAGAATGTGAAAGAGGATGAAGTTGTTCTGTTACTATTGATCAAATGCTCCTTATCTTCAGGGCACAGCAGTTACCTACAGTGCACACAGCACAGAGTACTTTAAAAAGATCCCTTCTTGTGGTGACCTCTTGCTTACCTGATCCCTCACCTCTGCAGTCCTTCCCCTCACCTTCATTTTCATAATGGGAGAAGAAATAAAATCAGGATTAGTGTGGCACCTACTACCCCAAAAGGCTTTCTTTTCGTATTATAAAACCAACCTTCACTGCTAAATCCATGATCTAGTTGGCCCAAACTCTTAAATACAGCAGGAGACACTTCAACCTTTATGTATCACATTATCTACTGAAGACAGCTTATTTTTTTCTAAGCAGTAAATTCTGTATGCTTGTTTTTGTTTTAGACCACACATACAAGCGCCAGTGAGACAGGGTGGAGCACAATAGCTTTTAGATCTGCACCTAGCAGCTGAAAGAGCAAACAGCCTTGATTCAGGGGGAAGATATCCAAACAACACTTCACTTTGCAACAACTAAAATACCATTCTTGCTGAGATAATCTCCCTATTAACCCGCATCGCCTCCAGCACACTACATTATCAGAGCTTGAAGTAACAGTAGGAAGAACAACAAAAATAGAGGCAGAATACTGACGGGTCAATAGATATTTCCTATGTTACTTTGATGTCAGCTGGTAGAAAGCTAAGAGGAAAGAATGAAGGGTGCCTGAAGCAGTGCATTACACTAAGACAATCTGAAAAAAACCCTAAATACCAGAAATTATATTTCATCTGTATTGCAGAAGGGCTTGCTCACTCTTCAGCAGCTGTGTATGACAAGTTGTTAGTAAGAGAGTGAAAACTGTACCAGGGGTTGTACATGACTAGCATTGTAATACTTTGTGTGCATCCTGTCCCCAGACTCAGAAGGCACATCGGATGGCAGTGAACTGAACTCCATATTCTCACATACCTAGAACTGTCTTTAACTAAAGTGGGAAAACCAAGGCACAGGTGTTCAGCTACTTCCCCAAGGTGGTATAAGACCTTGATGCTCTGTCATCAGGTTTGGAAGGGCGAGATAAGATTGACAGCCCTGGACATGAATTAAGAGTTAATAATAAAGTCAGGAAAAGCTGGATATCCACAGTATAGATAAATATGAACTGCAAACATTGGATTCACAGGCTCATTAGAAGCAAGATCAGTAAAGCATTAGAGAAATACTGCTCTGTACACATTAGTTTTACTCCAGCCTGCTGAGCAGTGGGATGGAGAATCAGCACATCTGTGGCTTATATCTGAAGAGGTGGCAAGTACTTAGAAAGTATAGGAGGGGAAGAAAGTATTACAATTCAGCAAGCTGCAGAACTTGATCAAAACACCGGGAGTTCTTTGCTTTGGAAGTAGACTGCTGAATCAGGAGAAAAGAAAAAGGGCTATCATACACAAAAACCAAAGGTGTACAAATGAACTTCAACCAGTAGCAGATGTTTTAAAATAAGTGAACACACGACTGACACACTTGCTAGAACAGCTGTTCTTTTCCAACCATCCTTTGCACAGGCATGTCCACAGGCACCACAGCACCCTTGGGGCACGGCCGAGGGAGTGAGTGTCTCTCCTCTGAGTCAGGGGACATGCCAGAGCCTGACTGCTGGCACTCGGACAGCCCAGTCACCAGCGGGGCCGTGGGTCACAGGGCTGGAAGCACAACTGGTCCAAACTTATAATCGACACAAGACAGATTTGCCTTGGCTTGTGTTCTGTTCAGAAATCAGATAACAGGAGGGGTTTGTGGCACAAAAAAGCCCTCACTTCTCCTCTTCCTTGCTTAAGTACCAAGCGGAGAGTTTACAACTTGCAACCCTAACGAAGGGCTTCTCTTGTGAGGAAGCCACATACCCCTTCCTTCAACCTGGCTGCTCCCAGGCACCAGCAGAAGGAAGACAAATGAGTGCAGAACATTTGCAGTACAAGGTGTTCAAGAGATAAAACTAATTTGCACGTTTGCAACAAAAAGTTGTACCTCACCAATATAAGCTTGGCTTTGTGTAGATATAATTCTCAAATTGTAACCCAGAAGCCTTACTAGAATACGTAAAGTTTCATATGTACTGTAAAAATGCAGTTAAGAGTTTCTGGAGAGGAAAAAACCCAGCATAAGGTGTTATTAAATAACTTGATGCTATTGTGTAACATTGTTGAGAAGTACAGTCATTTTTAATCAGTGACTGTACGAACTAGTTGAATGTTACAGCTCTAATGAGTCAGGGGAGTGGCTAACTCCACAAGAGAAAAATTTTTTATTTTCTAAAAATCAATATGCTACAGTTGTTTTTTATATGCTTATAAAAATAAAATGCCTTAGTCACCTGCATTCCACATTTAGTGGCTTTCAGTACAGAAAAGGCAGGTGTTTGATACTATGGCAAGTTAGGAGGCTAAGAAAATAATCCCTAAACATTTCAATGAGTATAAAGTGTAACAGCTTAAAAGCAAAAAAGACGAGTTAACAATTTCAGCTATTTAAAACTGAGAAACATTCAGTAGAACTGGACCTAAC